CCCTGGCGGTCGGGGTACTTGCCTGGGCAGGGTTGCGGGTGGGGTGTGGGACTTAGAGGGAACCCCCCCCAGAACCCCATGGCCGGTAAGCTCTCTTCTTCCTGCCTCCCTCCCTCCTTTCCAGCCTGTGTGAGGAGGGTCCCCCCAGCCGAGTGGCCTCCCCCCCGACGCCCCCGATCAGCATCAAGTCCGAGCGTCTGTCCCCTGCCACTGGGGCCTCTGGCGACTTCCCCAGGTCCTTTCCCTATCCTCTGCTCCTCGCCAGGCCCCTGGCGGAGCCACTGCGGCCCGCGGCCTCCCTGCGCCGCTTGACCCCCGACGGCTGGCCGCGGTAGAGCACAGAGGGCTCCTCCAGCCTCCACAGCCCAGAGACCCCTGAACAGCCAGAAGGGCGAGGGCATGCAACGCCCGCCGTCACCCAGGAGGCACTGTTCCTTCCTGGGGCTGCTGCATCAATAAAGCCCAGGGCTTCTGGAGGGCGCTGGGAAGCTCCCCACCCCGAGCCTCCCAAGCCTGAGGTATTCACACCCAGTCTCTCCAAAGGCCTCCTTTATGTACACTGGTTTTGGGGTGCGTGTTGTGGAAACGGATTCCCTAGAGGAGCAAGGCCAGGTGGAGGGTAGGGACGTCCCGAGAAGGACCTACAGGGGACACTACCAAGGGCAAGCCAGAAGGCCTGAGCTGCTCCGTTCTGAAATGAATTCACAGCCCTGTCAGCATGGCTGGTGAGGGGGTGTTGCCTGTGGTGACCAGGAGTTCTAGGCTAGCCTGGGACAAGAAAGGCACTGCTTTAAAAAAGTAAACAGGAGACATACCCAAAATGGCTCAGGGGGTAAAGACACTTGCTGTCAATCTTTTCGACCTGAGTTCTATTGGTGGAAGGAAAAGAACCAACTGCCTGCAAGTTGTCCATTGAGGCGGCCACACATACTCACAAGGCACTCATAAGATGAATGAACAAATATATAAATGGGGAGAGGAAAGGAAAAGGTTCAGTGGTATGAGAAAGAGCCTGCTGTGCAAGTATTAGGATCTCAGTTAGAATCTTCAGCACCCGTATAAAAAAGACCCGATGTGGTCTGGGTGCCAGCAAGATGGAGACAAGATTGCTGGGGCTTAGTGACAGAAGATGAAAAATGGCAAAGCAAGACACACGACATGCTATGCCCCCCCCCATTCTCTGACTTCCATGGCACCATCCTACAGGTAGACAGATGTAAAATATGTAAAGACAATTAAGAGGAGAAAGTGACAGTTGGGAAGGCAGGGCTCTCTTTCACATGTGTCCTGGGCTGAAGAGACGGCTCAGAGGGCACGATGATGGCTGTGGGTGCTGTGACTACCGCTCAGCCGCCAGCGCCCTGGCAGCAAGCCCTCGTCCTCAACACCCCACTAATCCAGATCTGGTAGAGGCTACCTGTCCTGGTTCATGCAGAGTCCCTGCCTCAAAGGGGACACCTAATGTCCTCATGGCTTTTTCAGGGGAACAGGCAAGTATACCCTGGAGCTCACACACATGCACCTATATGAATATTATACAACACAACTTTTAGTTTTGTTATTTTGTTTGTTTGTTTTTCGAGGCAGGCAGGGTTTCTTTGGTAGCCCTGGCTTTCCTGGAACTCGCTCTGTAGACCAGGCTGCTCTCAAACTCACAGAGATCCACCTGCCTCTGCCTCCTGAGTGCTGGGACTAAAGGCATGCACCATCACTTCCCAGTGCAATTTTTTTTTTGTTTTTACAACTTTTAGTTTTTAAAGGGGTGGGGAGTCCCCTAGGGCAGCCAGTGGGTAAAGATGGCTCAGCCAGTGGGTAAAGGTGCTTACCACTCTGAGGTAACTCACATGGTGGAAAGAAAAAACTGACCCCACAAGTTGTCTTCCTCATGCAGCATCACCACGCCTTCCCCACCCCCATACATAAGTCAGTAGTTTTCAACCTGTGGTGATCCCTTTGGGGGTCAAAGAGTCCTTTCACAGGGTCACATAAGATTATCTGAAAACACAGATGTTTATATTATAATTCATAACAGCAAAATTATAGAGATGAAGTAGCAATGAAAATTACTTTATGGTGGGTGTCATCATAAGGGTCTCAGTATTAGGAAGATTGAGAAGCACTAACAAGTCAATGAAAAACAAAGTTTAAAAAAAAAACTAGCTGGGTGTTGGTGGCGCACACCTTTAATCCCCGCATTCGGGAGGCAGAGGCAGGCAGATCTCTGTGAGTTTGAGACCAGCCTGGTCTACAAGAGCTAGTTACAGGACAGCCTCCAAAGCCACAGAGAAACCCTGTCTCGGAAAAAAAACAAAAAACAAAACAAAAAAATGGATTCCTAAACTCAGCCCTTCCCTTTCGCTCAAGCCCCAGGTCCACTAATGACACCGTGTCCTGGAGCAGGAGCGAGGAAGGTTGTGCCAACCTTGGATGGCACCGGAAGGGTCTCTGGGACCCTCTGGGACTTTCTGACCTGCCCTTCCTGGCTCCGCCCTCCCAGCTTAGCTCCTGGGATATGTTGGGTCAGGAGGCTAACTGGCCTAGGCCACCATGCAACAGAATCAGTGAGCAAGACTGGAGTTGGGTTGTGAAGCCTAAAGGAGAAGCCACCAGGTTCTAGAAAGATTCCCAGGGCTTCAATAGCCCAGACCTTGAGCCAAGAGAGGATAGGGAGACTTTAAGAAATAAATAGGCCTGAGAGGCTGGGAGTGAAGTCCTAAGCCTTATTTAGTTACAGCACTTGGGAGGCAAAGGTGGAGGATCTGAATTAGAGGGCAGCCTGGTGTTCACTGTTATTTTCAGGCTAGCCAGAACTACATAGTGAGACCATGTCTGAAAAAGACAACACAATCAAACTGGTCTGGACCAAACCAGACCAGGAACTTGGAGACAGGAGCTGATGCAGAGGCCATGGCTTGTTCAGCCTGCTTTGTTACAGAACCCAGAATCACCAGCCCAGGGATGGCACCTCCTACCATGTGCTGGGCCTGCCTCCATCATCACTAATTAAGAAATGCCCTACATGCTTGCCTACAATCTGATTTTATGGAGGCATTTTCTCAGTTGAAGTTCCCTCCTCTCAGATGACTTTAGCTTGTGTGACATAAAACTTCAGCACACTGGAGCAGACTGGAGCAGACCATAAGTGAGACTCAAATGGCTCAGACAACAAAGTGATGATGTAAGTTTCAATCCCACACTCACAAAAAGACCAGGCATTGTCTGTTTGTAATTCCAGTGGTTGGAAGCAGGGACACCCACCCAGAGCATCAAAGTCGCTGTGAATTGCCTCACACAGATATCCACATAGATTCATAAACAACAGGTCACCCACAGAGACAACAGTCAACTGTGTGGACATCTTACCTCTCGGCACCTACCCCCAGTTGTGTCCAGGATTTCGCACTCAGCCAGAAGCCATCCTTCCAAGCCACCTGGGAAATGCCATAGGGTTCCAACATCCACACTGAGTTCTTGATCAAGCCATGTCTGAACCTGAGGCTGTTGTATGTGATGGCTTTTGTTTGTGAAACAGGGTCTCCTTACAGAGCCAGGGACCACCAGCTCTCACTAGTCTGAAATTCACAACCCTCCAGCCTCAACCTCCCAAATACTGGATTACAGTTGTACACCACTACATCCAGCATTTACATGAGCCAAAATTTCCCCTTTGTTGTTGGAACCTTTTGGAATTTGTGTTTGTGGTGATATACTATTTATGATTTATTAAAGCTTACCTGAGGATTCAGAAAGCAAAGTTAGTAACAAGCCATAGAAGCCAGGCATACACCTTTAATCCCAGCAGCCAGAAGCTAGGAGATGGTGGTATACACCTTTAAGAATCCTAGGACTTGGGGGCTGGAGAGATGGCTCAGAGGTTAAGAGCACCAATTGCTCTTTCAGAGGTCCCGAGTTCAATTCCCAGCAACCATATGGTGGCTCACAACCATTTGTAATGAAATCTGGTGCCCTCTTCTGCCCTGCAGGGATACATGCAGGCAGAACAGTGTGTACATAGTAAATAAATAAATCTTAAAAAAAAAAATCCTAGGACTCAGGATTAAGAGGTAGACAGATCTCTATGAGTCCAAGGCCACCCAGATCTACACAAGAGGGAAAACAGTCTAAAAGAGAATTATAGGTCACACCTTTAATTCCAACATTAGGGAAATATGTAAGACAGAAGCAAGATCTCAGAGAGGCATTTGTTCTCCAGCCACACTGAGGAGAGACAGAAGTTTGAGACTTGGTAAAGAGGATCAGGCCCTCCAGCCTGAGCTGGAAATGAGAGCTAGTGGCTGACTGCTTTGCTTTCCTGATATTCAGCTTGAAGTTTGAACCCCAGTATCAGTCTCTGGGATATTTACTTTTTGTGAGCCAGAGCCACAAATCTCCCTGACTGGCCTGGATATCATTATAAAGACCAGGCTAGCTCCAAACTCACAAAAAATGGGCCTGCTCTGTCTTGCTGGTGCAGGAATTAAAGATGTGAGCCACCTAGCCCAGGCAGTAGCCTCCTTTTAAAAATTTATGACTGCTGGGCGTTGGTGGCACAGGCCTTTAATCCCAGCACTCGGGCGGCAGAGGCAGGCAGATCTCTATAAACTCAAGACCAGCCTGGTCTACAAGAGCTAGTTCCAGGACAGCCTTCAAAGCCACAGAGAAACCCTGTCTCGAAAAACAAACAAAACTATGACTAATATCATGTCTGTGTGCAAGTGCATACATAATGTATGTCTGAGTGGTGTAGAGGTCAGAGGTCAACTTGCAGGAGTTGGTTCTCTCTTTCAGCATGTTTGTGCGGGGATTGGAACTCCAGTCCTCAGCTGGGTGAGAAGCCCCTTTGACTAGCTATCCCTTCCTGGTTTTAAAATTTTGTCTTTTGGGACAATATCATTATACAGAGCTCTAGCTGCCTCAAACTGGCTATACAGCCAGGATATCTTTGAACCTAACATCTTCCTGCCTCAGAGGAGCCTCAGCACACAGACATCTAGGCCGCTTTATGAATTGGGGCAGTGCTGGAGTGAGCAGGGGCAGTCACTCACACAGTACAGGGCTGGTCCACGCACTTCTGGACTCCACCCCCAGCACTGAGAAAACTGACCCAGCACAATCTTCTGTCACTTGAAGCAGGAGGATCAGAACTTCAAAGTCAGCCTTATCCATATAATGCATAACAAAGATCAAACCCCATCTAAAAACAAGTTGGCCAGCAAAACCACTGAGCAGGGTAAGGCCTTTTTTGTGAAGGCAGATAATCTGAGTTAAATCCCTGGGGCCCTCGAGAGAAAAGGAGAGACCCAACTCCAGCAAGTTGTCCTCTGTCCTCCACACACACATAAAAAACTACAATCAAACCCCAAATGGGCGAGGTACACTGGTGCACACCTTTAATCCCAGCTGGGCGGCAGAGGCAGGAGGCAGAGGCAGGCAGATCTCTGTGAGTTTGAGGCCAACCTTAAGGGCACCCTCCCCCAGCGGGGACTTCCCCCCAGACCCCGAATTAGAAACAAACCACATCCAAACATCTGTTTCCACAGAGAGATCCTTTATTAAGCCGGGGAGAAAAAGTGACTGCCTCCTGGTTCAGGTGAAAACAGCAGCAAATGACCTTACAGGTGTGATTTTAAAGAGGAGGAAGAGGTGGGGAAGTCTGTGTTAGAATGGGCTAGGGTGCCGTGGTAAAGGACATGGGGAGCAACAAGGGATAGGGATGTTATGTCCAGATGGCGAAACCCAAAAAATCCACCACTGAGGAAGCAACACACGGAATGTAAAGACAAAGTTTTCTTTATTACGAGTTGCAGCTTGGATCCTGCCCATTCCGGAACAAGCAGAGTCCTGCTTTTTGGCTGAGGGGGTTTTTAAAGGGGAAAGTTCAAAAGACTGGGTGTTTTGAGATTACATAGGATGAAACAGTAACTGTATGTTAAGGCAGGATACAATTAAGCAGGAAGCTTAGAGGAAATAAATTTAATTATCTCCTGGGCCAGTGACTTCTACAACTTGGAATTGGCAGTTATCTGATCTTCTTTAGGACAAAGAAATGTTGACACAGTTGGGGGCTTTATCTGTTCCCAGGCCTCTGTATCCAGCTCTCTTTGTTTAGCCTTTTCTGTTGGGCTGCCTTTTTGGGAACTCAGAGAGGCTTAAGGGGAAGGGGTATTTGTCCCGGAGGGACAAAGGACTGCCTTTGGATAGAGAGGAGACAGACATGGCCCATAGGCAAATGGTGGTTTATGAAGATAAAGGAGGAAGCCCCACGTTAAGGTGACGTGTTTAATTTTAATTGGGCACATTAATTAGGTGAACCAAAGAGTGCTTTTAATTACTGGGCCTTGGTAGTCAGCCTCAGGAGGAGCCAAATAAGGAATATACCTTGGTGGCTAGCTTTAGGGATGTAATCTAATGGGTTTTTTTGTTTTTGTTTTTGTTTTTTTGAAGGAGCAAGGAGCAGGGGGTTGGGGCAGAGACACAGACAGCACAGCTGGTGTGCAGAGAATCAGACAGACTCCAGTCGGAGATATAGAGGGTTAATGAGAGTTATAAAGAAAGACTTGCCGGGCATTGGTGGCACACGCCTTTAATCCCAGCACTCGGGAGGCAGAGGCAGAGGCAGGCAGATCTCCAGAGCGAGTGCCGGGATAGGCTCCAAAGCTACACAGAGAAACCCTGTCTCGGAAAAAAAAAATGAAAAAAAAAAAAAAAAGGAAGAAAGAAAGAAAGAAAGAAAGAAAGAAAGAAAGAAAGAAAGACTTATCTAGTTGCCTTGGATGTCTCCAATGGAACTGGAAACTTGTGTAGGATATTTACAAACCATGGAGAGGGTGCCTTGTCTCCAGTGATGTGGTTTCAGATGGGCTAACTGGAACTTCCCAGTTGAATTACATGGCCTCGAATTTTTGTAAACAAACCACATGTTCAGGCAGCCTCATTCATATAGGTAAAGGGAGTGAGAGACATATTTTAGTGTAACGATTGGAGGAACAGGTGAAGAAGGAGTGTGTGAGTGTTGGGGAATCACTATTTGAATCTGTAAAGCAGGAAAGGAGTTTGACAGTCTGCAGGCAGTCTGTCTGCCTGTCAGCCAGATTTGATTTTTAAATGAGGTGCTTTGAGCTAAAGTACAAGTTTGGTTCCGAGTGAACCATAGCAAGAAAACCATTTGGAACAGGCAGAGATCTGAACTGCCAGCCAGTAAAACTGGGAGAGAGCATGGCAAACTTCATTGACCCTTGTTGACTTGCTCAAGTGGTCTCATTGAATGATTAGTTGGATGTAACAAATACACCAATTAGGATTGTAGTGTTTTGTTGTGTCTTTGTCAGACCCAAGTGAAACAGCAGTGGGGTTGTCCCTTTAAGGAGGGAGCAGAGACTCCAATGTCTGTCATCTGTCCTGGAGTCTGACTCTCAGGTTTGTTTTTGAGGTTAAGGGTTTTTTTTTTTAATTTATTTACTTATTTTTATTACATATACAGTGTTCTGTCTGCATATTTGCCTGCACACCAGAAGAGGGCACCAGATCTTATGAAAGATGATCTTATGAAAGTGAGCCACCATGTGGTTGCTGGGAATTGAACTCAGGACTTCTGGAAGAGCAGTCCAGTGAGTGCTCTTAACCTCTGAGCCATCTCTCCAGCCCTGAGGTTTAAGTTTTTTTTTTGTTTTTTGTTTTGTTTTTTTATGTCTGATTTTGTTGTGCTGGGTTCTCGGGGCCTAAGAGACCAACCCAAGGAGCAGACACTTCTTTTTTTTTTTTTTTGGTTCTTTGAGACAGGGTTCTCTGTGGCTTTGGAGGCTGTCCTGGCACTCGCTCTGGAGACCAGGCTGGCCTCGAACTCACAGAGATCAGCCTGCCTCTGCCTCCCAAGTGCTGGGATTAAAGGTGTGCACCACTAACACCCGGCCTGCAAAAGGTTTCTTTTTATTGTTCAAGCTGGCCAGCTTGGATCTCACTGCATAGGGGGAGGGGATGAGATGCCCACCAGCCCAAGAGAGAAGCTTTTAAAGGGACAGACCATAGGGTTGAAGGCCACAAATTTCAGCGTTTCCATGGTTACTTAAGGTCATACAAAGTACAGAGTAAAGCAGTAACTACTTATTTTAAGCAAGATACATTTGAGTAAGATATTTCTTACTCAAGTAAGGTGTTTCAGGGTTACGGGGTCACAGGGTCTGTCAGTTATCCCCTGGGCTGGGGGATCTTTACAACCTTATGACCAGCAATTAGCAGACATAGGAATTTTGACCCAAGTGATGGAGGGTCACCTCCCCTTCTCTGAGAGCAGGGCTCAGGCGCCAGCCACAGCATTCCCAATCATTAGAAGTTCCGTTTTCAGGGCCTAAGTTTAAATTTTTTTTTTTTTTTGCAGAAGTACATTCTTTTTATTTCTTTAGATGTGCACATACAAGAAATTTTACATTTCCTAAGATGATTTTCCATTTCTTCTACTTGTATTAAACTAAAGTTCATAAAGAAACACTGAAGGACTGTTTCAAAAAATCTTATCTTCAGTAACCTCAACAATGGTGGGTGAGAGGTAGCACTCCCTCCCCATGAGACCTTTGTATTTATGCTCCTTGTCCACCAATGATCCACTTCACAGCCTCCTGGTGAACTCGCATCATTACCTCAATATCATCTTGTCCAACAAATGTCATTCGTTCTTCTCTGCTTTCCCTGTATTGGTGGTAAAGGATGTAGGCAATTGCTGCACATGCTGAGATTCCAAGTACCAGGGCTATTTTTTGAATAATGGACAGGCTTGTCCATGAAGTGGCCATTTTCTGGGGTATTCTCTTGTCAGGAGTCAAGTGCCTTCGCCTTGAACCTTACTTTCCCCTCTGCCTGGTCTCTACCAGGGCCCATCAGCCAAGCAGGCAGCTATTTTGCAGATGCTTGCTATGCCCCGGAGGCACAGCCACACCAACCAATGCCTGTCTTGAGGTCTGACAATCGTGCACCCGCAGCAGCCAATCCTTGAACCGGCAGGCAGCCGTGAGCAATGGATCAGGGGTTTCTAAGGCCAGCCTTGAATGTAGTCCACAAGCAGCCTGTCTGAACTAGAGATAAACCCTGGTGATCAGCAGGAACTGCAGTCTTCAACAGATCAATGCTGCTGTTTCCTAAAACTTTTATTAATTTTTATTTTTGGTCCTTCAATTTGTCACTGTCATCTTTTGAGCTGTTAATGTGAACAACTGCCTATTGTACTAGAGACTTTGTTTGACCTCTAGTAAGAGAAAAAAATATATAATGAGGGCATATAAAGAGGATTAGAAGGAAAAATCACTCATCCTTAGAACAAGTAGCATTCTGCTGGTGAGGACTCTCCGAGAAGCCACCTCTTGCTTTGGAAGTGTCTCTGGAAGATTTGCAGAAGGGACCTTTTAGGGTGTCCCTGGTGGGAGTTAGGGATTTTTTTTTTTTTTTTTTTTTTTTTTTTTTACTCATCACCTATGAGGCTCTGGCTCCTCAAGTTCTGTAGCAACCTTCTTGGTGAGATCTTGCTGTTGCTGAATGATTAGGGAGACATCAAATTTCCCTCAGGAAAAGCTTTCTCTGCTAGATTAGTTTCCAAAAATTATCTTTCTGTTCCTGTTCAGGCACCAAAATATCGAGGTTTATTGGGTAACCAGACACCATCCAGGGCTATGAAGCTTTTTTTAAAAAATCATTAAAAAGGGGGGGGGGTCCAGCCAGGTGTTGGTGGCTCAAGCCTTTAATCCCAGCACTGGGGAGGCAGAGGCAGGCGGATCTCTGTGGGTTTGAGACCAGCCTGGTCTACAAGAGCTAGTTCCAGGACAGCCTCCAAAGCCACAGAGAAACCCTGGCTTGGAGGGAAGCATCCAGGAGAGGGGCTGCCTCTGCCAGGAAGACAGCAGCAAACTAAACAGGTGCAGGGCTTACCGCTTCTTATGGGCTGCGGTTCTTTTCAGGCAGGATTGGTCAGATTTCAGTCCCTTGAGCTCAGATTGGCTACATCGCCTGATTGATTATTCTCCTGCTTAGGGATTGGTTCCTTTTCCCTCTCAGGGATTGGCTGGTTTTCTGCTTAGTTGATGAGGTAGGTTTAGTTTACCGGTCCAAGTGTGCTTCTTTCACTGGCCTTTTGGTCTAAGTTCTGGGCCAGGGCATATGTCTCTCACTGGCTCTGATTCTAGGGCAAAGTGTATTTCTCTGCCACTGGTTTCAGGGCCAGGATGAGGTTCTTTGTCTGGCCCTTTTACCCTACAACATACGCACACGCACGCGCCCGCTCCTGCAAGAACTACAATTCCCAGCATGCATTACGAATCCCGTTCCTAGCCCGATGACTGGCTTCTCAAGCTGCTCGTCAACAGGGTCCTGTCTCTGATTGACCAAGATCCCCTGCGCTTGCCCGCCTCCAGCCTTGTGCGTGCGTGCGCTCGGGGAGTCGAAATGGTGAGCAGGCCCTGAGGGGTCTTTCCCGGGAGCGTGTGGGGTCCTGCGGTGCAAAGCCGAGGCACAGGGACTGACTGAGGGGGTGGAGGACGCGTGGGAGGTGAAGGGAACTAGGTTGCGGCGGACTTCTCTTCCTGACAGGGTCTCATGTAGCCCAGGTTATACTAGAACTTCTTCGTAGCCTCGGGTGACCTCGAACTTCTGAGTCCCCTGCCTCAGCTTTCGGAGTGCTAGGTGTGTGCCACCATGCACGGTTTTCCGTTTTTTCTTTTTAAAAGATTTTAAGATTACTTTATTATATTTATTTATTAAGTGTGCACCACTTGAGTATCCGCTGTCCTTAGAGACCAGAGAAGGTTGTAGGGTTCCCTGGGACTGGAGTTAGAGAGGGCTATGAGCTGCCAAATGGGTACAGGGAATTGAACCTGTGTCCTCTTGAAGAGCAACCTGTCATCTGGTTGGAGCCTCCCCCTCCTTTTTTAAACTCCTTTTTTAAAAAGCTTGTTTAAATGGGCAATGGTGGCACATGCTTTTAATTCCAGCACTCAGGAGGCCGAGGCAGGCAGATAACCGAGCTAGAGGCCAGCCTGGTCTACAGAGCGAGTTCCAGGACAGCCAGAGCTACACAGAGAAACCCTGTCTCAAAAAACAAAACAAAACAACAAACCCAAAATTGTTATTTAGAAAAGGTCTTACTTACTATGTTGCCTTGACTGGCCTGAAACTCACTCTGTAGACTAGGCTAGGCCTAGTCATCTCAGGGTGGGTAGAGGAATGTCTGTGACTCCCAAGATGCACTGTGGTATCACCCCAGCTGTCTTCTGAGAGATGCCAACAGGGTCAGGGGACCCCCTCCCCGTCCACCATCTTCCCCACAAATAGCTTGGGAGCTTTTGACTTTCTGACTAAAGCTGCTTCCTCAGGCTGTCCTCGGAGTGCAGCTGGTGGTGACCCTGTTCACCGCCACCGTCATGCACAGACTGGCCCCACACTGCTCCTTCGCCCGCTGGCTGCTCTGCAATGGCAGGTAAGCCTGTCCCTCACCTGCCCAGGCCCTGGGTGCATGCTTCTTCCTCCACCTTTTTTTTTTTTTATAGACTTTTATTACTTTTAACTATGTGTAGGTGTGTGTCTCCACGTGTGGGGTTGTGCACATGAGTGCATGTGCCTGGTGAGGCCAGCGGCATCGGAGTTGGAGGTACAGGCAGTTGAGAGTCTGCCTCTGCCTCCCGGGTGCTGGGATGTAAAGTCTGTACCACCGTGCCCAGTGTCCTTGGGTGTCTTTAAGGCACACCTTGGATCTGCCTTGACAACAGAGCCACACACCTCAGCTTCCCCCTCCTGGCCTTTTGTAACAGTTTGTACTGTTTTGGTGTCTTGGCCCCTTCTGAGGATTTTGTGGGAATGGTTTCTCCTCTTAGAAGAATGCGAGGGCCCCAGGAGAGTCAGCCCACACCTTTAAGGGTATCCTGGATTCCCAAGCCCCCTGTGGCTGGATCAATTCCCCCTATCTCATGACCCCAGAATTCCCCTGGCTGTGGCTATAACTGGGCACCCTGGGCCAACTTTCCTCAGGGCTGCCCCCTTCAGCAGCTCTGTCTTCAAGACCAGATTCAGGTTCTTTGCCCCCAGGCCAAGCTTTTCTGACTTTTTCCTCCTCAGTCTGTTCCGATACGTACACCCATCGGAGGAGGAACTTCGGGTACTGGCAGGGAAACCAAGGCCCAGAGGCAGGAAGGAACGGTGAGTGGCCCCCATTTGGACTCCACAAGGCCTAGACAGGGCTGTGCCCTCCTGTCCAGGGACAGGCCTCACACCTGCCCCAGGGCTCCGGGCTGGGGGACATGGCCTGCCCTCCCACTGTGGTGCTGGGTGCAAGTGGCTGCAGTTAGCATCTTGTATTCCTGGCTGTTTGCTCTGGGTTGGCCCTGTGCCTAGGCTGCCCCACACCTAATGTGGGTGCAGGTCTTTCCCAAGCAGCACCACCCAGTTCTCTGGCAGGCTCAGAGGAGCTCCTTCCATCTCACCTTTCACTGTCCTCGTGCTCAGGTGGGCAAATGGCCTTCATGATGAGAAGCCTTTGTCGGTGCCTCGAGATGCCCCTTTCCAGCTGGCTACCTGCCCCCTCACTGCTGTGGATGCCCTAGGTAACACCCAGCCCAGCTCACTCCCCGCCCCAGCTGCTGAGGCCACCCTGCCCAGGGGTGCAGGGTGAGGTGGGGATGGGAGATGGGTGGGTGGGTGGGGTTGGGGCCAGAAAAGGCTGGGGCAGGGCTGAGCTCCTGTCCCCGCAGTCCTGCGCTTCTTCCTGGAATACCAGTGGTTCGTGGATTTCGCTGTATACTCCGTCGGTGTATACCTCTTCACTGAGGCCTACTATCTTGTGCTGGGCCCAGTCCAGGAGGCCAACATCTCTGTGTTCTGGTGCCTGCTCACACTGGCCTTCTCTCTGTATCCTTCTTCTGCATTTCAGCATGTAGGGGGTGGGACTCAGGCTGAGCTTCCCTTCTGACTTGTCTACTGGATCACCCACTGTGTCACAGACCTGCCCCAGAGTTAGAGGTATACAGGCCAGCATGGTCTCAAACTCCTGGCTCACCTTTCTGAGTGCTGGAGTTACAGGTGTGTGTCACCATACTCTACACATAGTCTGGTTTTCTTTGATTGGCCCCCCTGGGTGGGTTCCTGTCCATCCATGTCTATAGAATTGGGAAAACCAGGGGACAGCTTGCTGGGAGTTGGCCCATCTTTTTTGTTTGTTTGGTTTGTTTTTTCTAGTCAGGGTTTTTCTGTGTACCCCTGGTTGTCCTGGAACTCATTCTGTAGACCAGGCTGGCCTGGAACTCACAGACCCACCAGCCTCTGCCTCTTGAGTGAGTGCTGGGATTAAACGCCTGCGACATCACTGCCAGGCCTATCTTTTTACCCGAACCCTCTAGCATATTCTTTGCATTAAAAAGCATGTCACCAGGACAGCTTAGAGCCGGAAAAGATCTGTCCTGCATTGAGAGCAGAGGCCCAGGAATGCTGGGGACCCCTGGGGATCACCTGGTTACCAAGTGCTCAGGGCGTAGGTCTGCAGGGACATTTCACAGCTGACCCCTAATGTGGGGCTGCATCTTAGGAGAGTTTCAAGGAAACTGAAAAAGCTCTGAGTGTTTTGTTCTTAAACACTGTTGCCTAAAAACATGTATGGGGAGCTTGGTAAGGAAGGGATGGTGGGTTTGGCTGAGCATACACAAAGAGGCCCCGGGTCCACCCCTGAGAGCCTAGGGTTCCATCCTCAGCACAGTCCCCCTAAGGAAGAGATGGTTACTGGCCAGGTGGTGGTGTTGCACACCTTTAATCCCAGCACTCGGGAGGCAGAGGCGGGCAGATCTCTGTGAGTTCCAGGCCAGCCTGGTCTACAAGAGCTAGTTCCAGGACAGCCTCCAAAGCCACAGGGAAAGCCTGTCTCAAAAGACCAAGAGAGAGAGAGAGAGAGAGAATCTCTGACTTTTCCATAGCATCAAATGCTACCTGTGTGGGCTTTTCACTGGCCCTCCTTCCCTAGGTGCAGCGGACATAATGATTTCTGATCAGCCACAGATCATTAGGCCACCTCCCACCAAACACCAGCACCCCCTGCTCACCTGATCCCACACACCCAAGTTTAAGATCCAAGCACCCAAAGCCAGTTTCTGCAGGTTTGTCTGTGCCCTGGAGTGCAGGGTCAGGGGAGAGTCGTAGTCTGTCCCTGGCTTCATTTTTCATTTCAAGACAGGGCTTTTCTGTGTAGCCCTGGGCTGTCCTGGAAGTAGCTTTGTAGCCCAGGCTGGTCTCAAATTCAGAGATCCTCCTGTCTCTGCCTCCCGAGTGCTATCCCTGCTTTTCTTAACCCCACCCCTAGCAAGGTGTTCCTCATGGTGACCCGGCTGTACTTCAGTGCCAAGGAGGGTGGCGAGCGCTCAGTGTGTCTGACCTTTGCCTTCCTTGTTCTCCTCCTGGCCATGCTGGTGCAGGTGGTTCGGGAGGAGACCCTAGAGCTGGGTCTGGAGCCAGGTAGGTGTGCTCCCCTGCTTGAGATGCAGCGCACTTTCTGGTTTGTTTTGTTTTTTTCCTCTCTCTTTTGAGACTGGGTCTCACTCTAGGGCTCTGAACTTACAGAGATCCTCCATCATCTGCCACCTGCATACTGGGATTAAAATTTATATTGTTACAGGGGCTGGAGAGATGGCTCAGCAGTTAAGAGCCCTCACTGGCTGCTCTTCCAGAGGACCTGGGTTCAATTCCCAGCACCCACATGGCAGCTCACAGCTGTCTGTAACTTCCATAGGACCCAACACCCTCATGCAGACAAAACACCAATGCACATAAATTTAAAAAAGATTTATCTTATTACTATTTTTAAAGATTTATTTTTATTTCATATGTATGGGTGCTTTGTCATGCTATGTGTTATCAGGATTGTGACGTACCTGCAAAGGCCAGAAGAGGGCACTGGACCCACAGAACTGGAGTTACTTAGGCTGTGAGCCACTGAGTGGGACCTGGGTCCTGTGAAAGAGCCATCTACCAACTGTTTTTTTTTTCTTTATTTCTAAGATTTATTTATTTGTGTATATGAGTACTCTGTCTTCATGCACACCAGAAGGAATCAGATACCATCATAGATGGTTGTGAGCCACCATGTGGGTGCTGGGAATTGAACTCAGGACTCTGGAAGAGCAGCCAGTGCCTTCTCTGAGCCATTTCTCCTGCCCTAGGTTCTATTTCTTGAAGAGTCTCACACAGTCTGGGCTTGGCAGGTCTCTGTGGCTCAGTGACAGAGCACAGCACAGCATGTGGAGGCTCTGGATTTCATTCCAGCATGGGAAAATACAAGTACAATTAAAATAGATTGTCTGGGGCAGGAGAGATGGCTCAGGGGTTAAGAGCACTGGCTGCTCGCACAAAGGCCCAAGGTTCAATTCCTACCATCTACATGGAGGCTCACAACCACCTGTAACTCCAGTTCCAGGGGATCTGATGCCCTCTTCAGACCTGCACCAGGCACACATGTGGTAAACAGATACACATACAGGCAAAACATTCAGAAAAGTTAGATAAAGTAAAACCTTGTCTAAGCTGGGGCTTGGGACAGTGCTTGCTCTGCAAGCATGAGGACCTGAGTTTGGAAATTGACTGGCCAAGATGGGTGGATTCTGGGAGCTGGAAGACCAGCCAGCCTTGGAAGCCGTAACAGTCCACACACTTGATCTTCTTCCCCTAGGTCTGGCCAGCGTGATCCAGAACCTGGAGCCTGTTCTGAAGAAGCAGGGGTGGGACTGGGCGTGAGTCCTGGGGACTGGATCTTGGGGGAAGGTACAGGTTGAGGGAGCATCTGCCCCCCCACACCCCTACCCCCACCTCCGTGTCCTCACCCCCCTCTGACACTCAGTGTCCTCACCCCCACTCTGACACTCAGTGTCCCCTCACCCCCACTCTGACACTCAGTGTCCCCCTCCCCCCCCCCCCCCCCCCCACGGCCCCCCCCCCCCCCCCCCCCCCCCCCCCCCCGTGGTGCTCCCCCAGGCTGCTCCTGTACACCAGCTTCCTGTCGCCCCTGTGCACCCTGTGGCTCTGGACAAAGCCTGTTGCCCGTGACTTACTGTACCAGGCACCCATGAAGAACATGACCTCTTCTCTGTGCGTGTGTTGGGGTGCTGAGGGACCTGGGGTGTCTGAGACCGGGGATGAACTGGAGAGATTGTGGCCTGGAGGAGAGCTCACCCAAATTGCGTGTCTGCTTGGCCCTTGTTGCAGGCCATCGGAAGGGGCCTTTGACTCCCTGCGCCTCTGGGTGCTGGTAGTGCTGTGCCTGCTGCGGCTAGCGGTGACCCGGCCACACCTGCAGGCCTACCTGTGCCTGGCTAAGGCTCGAGTGGAACAGCTTCGCAAGGAGGCTGGCCGCATCGAGGCCCGCGAGATTCAGCAGCGGGTATGCACCCCAGAGGGGGCCTGGTCATGGGGTCCCTGTCTTGGGAAGACCACCCCCACTGCAGCCTCTACTGCCTCCCCGCCAGGTGGTCCGGGTCTACTGCTATGTGACGGTGGTGAGCCTTCAGTACCTGACGCCACTCATCCTCACTCTGCACTGCACACTGCTGCTCAAGACGCTGGGTGCGGGCTAGTGGAAGAGGGCGGGGCCTGGTCAGGTGGGGTCTTCAGATAAAGGCTGTGAGGAAGGGTGGGACTAGCTATCCGGGTGAGGGCAGCATTTGGGGAAGAGCACACCCTGTTGCCTGTGGAGACTTGGAGGTGGGGCCAGCAGGTAGACTGGGGAGGATGGAGGCCCTCTAAGGTCAGTGGGGTATAACCTAATGGGGGGATGTTGTGAGAGCGTCTAGACTCACCATTTTGTCTCTGCCCATAATTCCCTTCTTCCCTCTTGCAGGTGGCTACTCTTGGACCCTGGGTCCTGCTCAAACCCCACTGGACCCACCCCAGTCCTCAGACACTTTGATCTCTGTGGACCCTGCAGAGGATGAAGCCCAGCAGACTGCAGCCCAGGTCGCAGGGGTCCTGGGTGGCCTGCTTACACCCCTCTTCCTCCGTGGCGTGCTGGCCTACCTCATTTGGTGGACGGCTGCCTGCCAGCTGCTCTCCAGCCTCTTTGGCCTCTATTTCCACCAGCACCTGGCAGCTTCCTAATGTGATGCCACTAGGTGCTGGCATCTGATTCCTGTCCACCAGGGCTGGGACTGTCCCCTGTGTATGTACTTCAGACCCTAGATGACCTAGGGATAAGGGTGGGGACTCCCCACCCTCTCTCACCTCAGTGCCTAGATCATGGACCCGTTGAATCAGGTTCCCCTGGACATGGAGGCCATGGTCCTCAAGTGTGTGTGTGCGTGTGTGTGTGAATAGGATTTCAGGGAGAGGCTTCTCTCAAAAAAGGGGGCAGGCCACTTTTACAGAATATACTCAAAGGCTGGGGAGATAAGCAGGGAAGACCTGTGTGGTACGGGGCTTAGGAGAGAGTGGTGCTAGGCAGGGTGGAAAGATGGAAGAGGTTGCAGATGGCTAGGAGAAAGCTAAGGGTGGGGCTTAGTCCCAGCATCCAGGTATCCCTGGGGTCTGTCACTCTCCACTAAGAGGGAAAGAGACAAGAGTCATCATGTCTATCTCCCCAGCACTCTGGGGAGACTGAGGCAGGAGGATTAGCTTAGACTAGTAACAAGACCATGTCTCTAAAACAAGAAACAAAATGAAGTGTGAGGGGAAGGAATGTCAGCTGGGAGGAAAGTGGAAGGAGATTGTCCCCATCCGTCCTGGAAGCTGTGAGGTGACCGCTGTGATTGATTTCAAAGCCTTGGTGACTGAGGGTTACCACCAATCCCAGAATTGTCCTGTTGCTATGACTTAGTGTTTGTGCCTGTGTGTGTTTGAGACATACATGGGTTTCATGACCCTCCTACATATGCAAAATGTATATTGAGAATAAAGAATGGAGGGTTCCTGTGGTGCTGCCTGGTGACACTGCCAGTGGTCTGGAGAATGGGCATGTTATGTTCAGGAGCCTGTGCTCAGGCATAGCTCTGAGGTCTCCCTCTGGAGAGAAGGCACCTTGTGTTTGTTGGGAAGGGCTTAGGAATGTGACTGTGCACACAGGCCCACAGTTACCATGATAGGATCAGAATGGCTTAGCACACAGGCCTTACCATCTACCTTGACACACCCGCAACCCCTCACAAGCTTCAGGAACTCTGGCACCCACCTCCCACCTTGCCATAGGAGTGCTGGATTACACTTGTGCTGCTCTGTCCCCTTATGTGAGTTCTGGGGATGTGAACTCAGGTCTTCATGACTGCAGCAAGCATGGCTGAGGTGTGTGGTACAAATCCATGGGATTTCCTTGACGATGTATCTTTAGTTTTCCTGCCTCTTGGGACAGATTCCCAGACTGACCCTGACAAGGGGCTGTGGGAACTTATAAAGTTCATGTGAATCAGGAATGGACAAATAGGGGTGATCTACCCTGTAGGGTGCAGAAAGCAGACAACACTGGGAAGCCAGGGCTCCGCTCTGTAGGACTGGAGGGTGACTTCAGAGTGGAAGGCACACACCCCAGACATTTGGCTGACTGGGGGCTGGGCTGTGTTCCAGAGCAGAGGTTCCTGTGGCTGATGTCTCTGGTTGCCAAGAATGGTGGAGCACAGCTAATGACTCCAGAGTTAGAGGCAGGCTAGCCACCAGCATTATGCAAGAATTTGAAGTCAGCCTAGATTATATATCTCAGATATGTAAATAAATATATGAAGCATTTTATTGGCAGATTCAGCTATGTGGTTACTATATTCTTTGGGGGGGTGTTGAGGCATGATTTCTCTGTGTTGTTTTGGAGCCTGTCCTGGAACTCACGCTGTAGACCAGGCTGGCCTTGAACTCAGAGATCCACCTGTCTCTGCCTCCCGAGTGCTGTGATTAAAGGTGTGTGCCACCAATGCCTGGCTCATGGTTACTATATTCTTGAATCTTTGTGTGTGTGTGTTGGCAAATGATCCCAGAATCTTTATGTCATAGTAAGTGTTCCACCTGAGCCACGCCTCCAGCCCTCACTGGGGGATTCTAGGCTAGGGCTCTACTGCAGAGCCATGCTGAGTCCAGGTCTCCATCTTTGGCCATCACTTTCATTCCCAGGAGCTTGTGCCACATAAGCATCTATAAGCAGAAAGATGTACAGAGTGCTTGGGCAACACACTTGGAAACCTCAACTCTCTTAACAAGTACAACCAGGGGGCTGGACAGATGGCTCAGCAGTCAAGAGCACTGACTGCTCTTATGGAGGACCCAGGTTCAGTTCTGAGCACCCACATGGTGGCTCATAATTATCTGATTCTAGTCTCAGAGGATCTGATGTCCTCTCCTGGCCTCAGACACCAGGCGTGCATAGGCAGACATCCATGCAAGCAAAGCCCCGATACACAAAATATTTAAGAGTGTCAAATAGCCCCAGACCTGTCTCAGTGCTAAAGTTCACAGTATGGGGAAGGGGCCAGAGTTGAAGAAGTAGGGAAGCAGAAGTTATTTAAATTTTTATTAAATATACTCTCTTGGCACGAATCTTTAAAATATATAAACATTATATATAAACGAAGTGTTTTCATGGCATCAAAATAGAACTCCAGACCAGACAGTGACCATGGGAAAGGGCAGCCACAGAGGTCAAGAGCCCCCAGGCCAGAACTACTGGGAGGCATATGGGGAAGCAGATCAGGGACTCTGACACCCTCACCTCTCCCATCCAGCTGGCTGCCCAATGAAGGGCTCTGACTAACCATCTACATGATGTCACCTGTCCTCTGACTTCCTGGTGTGGGGTGCCCAGCTTCTCCACTCCAGTATGCCGGCCAGGCAAGGAACAGAGTGGGCAGTACACTCACAAAAGAATGGGATGGCCCCTCACAGCCACCACAGGCTGCTGGGGTGCCTGGGGACATGTTGGGGATGGCCTGTCACCATCTGCGAAGGAGACAGGAAGATGGCTGAGCATCACTGGCACAAGGTAAGAAATACAATAATGAGCTGGGCAATGGTGGCGCACGCCTTTAATCCCAGCACTCAGGAGGCAGAAGCAGGCCTGGTCTACAAAGTGAGTTCCAGGAAAGCCTCCAAAAGCTACAGAGGAAACCCTGTCTACGAGAAGGACTGTAGTCTGCAACTGAAAAGGCCTGGGGGGTCAAGCCACCCTGCTCAGGCTCCACATGAGATAACTGCCATCCAGCTGTGGGAAGCAACAGCTAGCTCAGCTCTGAGCCAGGACTGGGCTGCACATGGCAGAGGTTTTGTGTGTGCTGACCTGGGCCGGAAGCAGGTGAGAACTAGAAACCAGAATTGCTGCAAGTTGGAGGCTAGCCCAGGTGACACTGAGAGGGACATGCTAGCCAGGGCTTGGGGGGGGGCTGTCTCAAAGACCCCAAATCAAGAACCCCAACACCTCAGAAAAGCATGAAGTCTCTGTGACACCTTGGGGACCCCAAGGGAGTTTTTGAGATAAGCTGGCTGGTGGATCCAGGTGCCTAAGACACCGTTGCACACATTCACACAGGCCAATTTTGGGCCTTCATTTGGCCTGGCTGAATGACAGCCTCAGTGGGGACTAGGGACCCACAGAAGGTTGGGCAGTTTCAGTAATTTATGCCCTATCTCCAAGGGTGCTGTGCAAACAAGAGCCTTTGGGCCGACATTGTGGCCTGGGTGACATGCTTTGGAAGACATCCCAGGTGAGGGAGACCCACATGGGCATTTCCAGTGGGGTCTGTACCTGCCCCTCCTGCTGTGGTACCTCCTGGGAAGGTTACAAGCCAGGTAGTTGACAAAGGTCAGATGCAGCCCCTCGGGGATGAGATGGGTATAGTGCTCTGGGGAGAAAGCTTTGTGGGCAAGAGCAGCCATCTGTCACCTGGGAGAGGATGAGCAGGCATGGTAGAGTACTGAGGGACACAGGTACAGCCACCACTGAGCAAGCTGCAACCCTCCTGGCTGTGGCTTTGAGGGAAGGGCTGTCAAATCTTCAGGGCAGGCATGGTCTTAGCAAGAAGGGATAGGCTCTGAGCCCAGTGTGCCAGTGGGCACTAGAATCAGTAGCAGGTCAGAAGAGGCGGGGCCAGGAAGTGCAGTTGACCCCTTAGGAGCCTTTGGGTAATGCCCCTGAGAGACTCACCAGTCACTCAAGGAGCTGAAGGGAGGGACACAACCAAGACCCATCATTACAATGTCACACCCTGTGGGCCAGCACTTCACTGTGGGCCCTGCAGCCCCAAGCCAGGTCCCACCCTTCTGCCCATCCTCAAGGTACCATCAGGGCTGCCAGCACACAGCTGCATGCCCTCCACCCACAAGCTCACCATCCATTGTTGCGTGGGCCTAGCTCTGCAGCCGGCGTAGCAGGATCTGCATGAGGTCGAAAGTGGTGAAGCTGATGCCCACGGCAATCGGGCCCTTCAGCCAGTTCATGCTCAGGCCCTTGTAGAGGCCTCGCACCGCGCCCTCCTCACGCACGATGGAGCGCAGAGTGCTCAGAATGGAGCCATGCTGGTGGCCTGTGACACCTGCCGTCTGCATGCGCCGCCGCACCACGTCCAGAGGGTAGGAGGCTGACTGCCCGATAAGGCCGGCACAGGCCCCGAAGACCATGCGCTCAAAGGGGTAGGGCTGTGGGCGGCCACTGTACTCTGCGGGGCAGAGGGCACATGAGTGCCACACTTGCAGAGCCTAAAGCCCCACTTCCTGGCCACCCTTTCTCAGTTTCGATACCAGGAGTGGGACCCAGGGCTTCATGTATGCCAGATCAGAGTTCTGTCAACGAGCCACACCCCAGCCTAACGTAGGACACGCTTTGCAACAGTGAGACTTACAAGGTCACCCAGGCTACATGCACAATAGCTCCCCTTCATCTAGGAGGCTCAGGTCCCCATCCTGCAGTTTTCAGTGCCCTCTCTCTCCTCTGTGTACGCTTGGACCCTTAAGAGTGCAGGGCTGCACAGACATGGTCCTCTGCCTGAGTTCTTAAACTAATGAGGATGGCGGCAATGTGTGTGCAGGGACAGCTGTGAGAAGGTGGCCTCCATCTCAGTGTCCCGCTGGGGACTGCAGGCACCACTCCATAGAGCAAGTGCCTAGCACAGCCCACACTGCCCGAAAGGAAGACACAAGTGTGCAGCTGTGGATTAGCAGGTCATGGGGGCCGGGGTCACCAAGCACCTGCAGCAGGTACAGCCCAGGCTCAAGTAACCTCGGATGGACAGGTTCTATTGTCAGCTGGTGTTCTGTGACAGTCTCACTGGGTAGCCCAGGATGGCCTCCACCTCATGCCATCCTCCTGCCTCAGCCTCCTGAACGGAGGGCAGGCATGAGCCCCCACAGCCAGCTAGACTGAAAGGGTTTGAACATGCTGTGTCTGTGCTGTGTGCAGACTCTTCTTGTCATTGCCGCCAGCTGAATGCAGTGGGACAGCTGAGCACACAGCATGTCCGCATCCAGGCGGCTGGCCTTGCTGCCATGGTGAGTTGTGGAAGCTGTGGGAGGAGGTGCAGGCTCTACACAAACACTGCACCACTGCATAGGAAGGCACAGGGACCATGACTGGGGACCTTGAGGGGCCAAGAACCACCCCACAGATAGGCCACTACCTTTCTAAGCAATTGAGTTTTTACACAGGATCTTGTCAGGTAGCACAGGCTGCAGCAATTCTGTCCAATCCGCCTGAATGCTCAAATCACATGTGTATCAACCTTCTGAGACTCTGAAAGCCATTCCAGGACTGCCACCCAGTTACAGTGACAGCCTCAACTTACCCAGATACTAACAAGTTAACAAAAACACCTCAGGGACTGGGGCTGCTGCCTGTTTGCAGGGTGTTTCCCTCAAATGCAAAAGGTCCCAGGTTTTGGTTTTATCCCTAGCACCTCACAAGATAAGTGTGGGGAGATGTGGGGAAGGAGAATGAGGCTATAAAGCAAACGTGGGGCCAGCATGGGTTACTCAGTGAGACCCTTTGTAAATAACTGAATACTAACGAATTAAAGATTACAGTCCAAGCTCCTGGGTTCCACCAGACACAGGGTGTCTTTAACTTGGGCTCTGGGTCCTGCCTATCCCCCTGTGTGGCTCTGGATGAGGTGGAGTCCACAGGGACAGCACCCTGAAACCCCACCTCTTCTCTCCACCTCTCCTTACCTCGATGCAGGCTCTTCAGTGACTCGTAAGTAAAGAAGCTGAGTCCCGCATAGGGAATGACGCCCAGCACAGTGGGTGCGAACCCGAAGTAGAGGGTCTTCAGCCCTTCCTCTCTCGAGATGCGGATGAAGACGTGAAAGATGTTGCTGTACCTGTTGGGACCATGTGACAGAGCTCAGTGCCCACACCCCACTCCCTCCTCCTGTCCAGGAAAGTGAGGGCACTCCACAGAGACCTACTACCTGCTCTGTCAGATACAGGGCTGGTACCAATGCCCTGTGCATGTGATAGGCAAGTGTCCTAGCTCCTGAGCTGCTAAGGAGACCAGGCTGGCCTCGAACTCACAGAGATCCGCCTGCCTCTGCCTCCTGAGTGCTGGGACTAAAGGCATGCACCACCACACCTGGCTACCCTTAGGTATTTTTTTGGAACAAATGATGCTTTCTGGAGCCCTGCAGAATGTCACTCATTGGTGGGATCCTCAACAAGTACCCCACATACGCCTCTGCTGGTGGAGCACCCCCACATACGCCTCTGCTGGTGGAGCACCCCCACATACGCCTCTGCTGGTGGAGCACCCCCACATACGCCTCTGCTGGTGGAGCACCCCCACATATGCCTCTGCTGGTAGCAGCAACACCAGCATAGATCCTGTGGTAGGACTCACATTTCTTTGGGCGTCACAGCCATCCTCGCTCTGACCAGGTCGAGAGGGTAAGTGAGGGAGGCAGCCGTGGTTCCTGCCAGGGCACCGGCCAGGAGGCGGGGCCATGGGGGCAGGGCTCTGTGGACAAGTAGAATAAGTTGAGACCTGGGTAGGGACATGGGTTGCCCACACCTCAGCCTTCAGGGTACAGAGGAACAGGAGACCCAGGAGGGTTCCAAGTGGTTGAGCTTATGGGGTCACTTAGGCCAGCGTCAAATGCAGCCTCCTCTCTCCCTTCCCATCTGCAGGAGTGTCTTCCCCAAGGCTGGGGCTACATGGTGCCTTGCACCCTTGGGAATCAGATCTGGGCAGAGGTGACAGTGAGTAAGAGTTGAGAAGACAGCACAGGGAAAGGGAAGGAGGGTGAGGTGAAGGCTGAGGAGGGGGCTGGGGTCCTCCCTATAGGAGGTTAGTGAGGGTCAGAGCCTGGGCAAAGGGGAGCCTAAGTGGGGTCATGAGAGGGGGCCAGGTGAGGAGGGGCGGGTCTCAGTGGGCAGGGGCCTCACTCTCCACGGAAGCCATAGTATCGGCCCAGGATGCGCTTGTACTCCTCATGAGCGCTGAACTGGATAGCGGCATATGGAATCACTCGCACCATGGTGGCCGAGTTCCCACGCCATAGGCTGAGGAAGCCCTCATTGAGGTAGGTGAAGTAGAGGAGCCGGAAGGCCTCCTGGAGAAGACAGAGAGGGAGTCAGCACTCCTTACCCTGAGCATACTGCAGGCAGCACCCTCAAATGCAGGGTGCTGGTGATTGACAGAAATAGGGGTTGCAAGGCTGGCCGGGAGCCTGGCACATGCCACATGGTTGCTGGTCCTCCGGTGACACTTTCAAAAGCATCCCAGTTTAAAGGAAAGTCACAAAGGAAAGTCACACGGGAAGACTGCATCAAAGTCCCACCCGCAGGTGTGTTAGGGCAGCAGGACAGAAGCCTCTACTCTTCCCAGGAGACCTGTGCACATTGGGGTCCTTGGAAACCTGCCCTCCCAGATCACCCATTCCACCTAGTCCCTCTAGCAGCTCACCTTGGCAGAAAATCTTTTTGAAGACACTGGAACAAACAAAAGCACAAGAGACCATGAGATGTAGCGGTTGGGTTCCTGGGTCAGGCTCCTGTGTCTACAGCCCCCACACGGACCTTCACTTGATGTGGGCAGTGGATAGGAATGGAGGCCCCAGGAAGGGTAGAGGAGCCAGTGCTTGCCTAAGACTCACAAGGGGCTTGGGCTTCAGCTGTGAGGTTATGCTGGGGGACATTCACTGGGGAGGAACCACGGATCTCTGTTCCTGATGCCAGCCCTGAACCTGGATCTCCTCAGAACAAGTGGCCCATTCCAGAACAGCAGCGCCACCTTGCATCTCCATGCTCCCACAGGCTGGCCTTGCTCCACACTACATGTCTTTAGTCACTATGTGGGGCAGGAGGCTGCGCTATGTAGATCATAAGGACGTATGGGAAACATCCAGAAGTATAGGCCTCTGTGAACAGACCTGAGAATGTCTCCCACCCTCAGCAGGAAATCCCTGCTCAGACAGCAGGTGACAGGGACTACAGTCACAACAGAGGGCTTGCTCCTTTCTCTAGCCATCCTCTCCATCTACTGACCAGACAGGGGACTTAGGGAGTATCAGCACCACTGAGGCACGGTAGTGGTAGACAGCCCCCTCTCTCAATAGCAGGAGGCTTAGCCAGTTTAGTACCCAGGGAGGGACATGGGCTCTGGGGTGACTGTGTCCCCAAAAGTTTCATCCACATCTTCAGCCAGGTTCCTGGGAAGGTGACTATGTTTGGAAGCAAAGACTTTGTGGCTATGGCAGACTCAAGGTGTAGGAAGCTAGCCCTGAGCAGTGACTCGTACCTTTGAAGAATAGGGGGCGGGGGCTGTGTGTGGTAGCAAACACATGTGATCCCAGCATTTAGGCTGAGGAAGAAGGATTGCTGCAAGTTCAAGGCCAACCTGGACTACAAAGTGAATCTGAAGTCAGTCTGGGCCACAGTATGAGACTAAGTATGTTACTTGGGGCTGTGGGAAGAAAGGGGGGGTGACCACTTGGCTGCTTCCATATTGCACAAAGGCAGACAGACACACTTACCTTGGAAGATGATCTTGGTTCGGTCCAGGGGGGCTACTGCTGTCTTGGCAAGAGCACCAGCCAGGGCTCCGGACAGCAGGGAGCTGAGTACTTGTCTGTGGTCTCTCTAAAATAGAGCACCAGGTCATGGGCTCAGAAAGCAAAGTGGTTAAGGCCTCACAGGGCTAGAGGGGTTGCTCACTGGAGGACCAAGACCTGTAGAAGTACCAATTCCCTGCCTTAGCCTGGGCTCACAGACACATGCCGTCGTGGTTCCATGGGGGTCCTGGGGTCTGAAGTGAGTTTTTCATGCTTGACAAACACTTCTTTACTGATTGAGCCATCTCCCCCAGCCTTTCCTTCTTCCTTTTTTTTGTTTTGTTTTGTTTTGTTTATTTTGAGAAAGAGTCCCTCTGTGCAACCATAGCTGTCCTGGAATCTGCTTGTGTAGACCAGGCTGGCTTCAAACTGACAGATTCTCCTGCCTCTGCCTCCTGAGCACTGGGATTAAGGGCATGTGATCATCTCCTCCCCACTTTGAGACAATATCTTGCCCTATAGCCCAGACTGTCCTAAAGCTTGCAATCCTCTGCCTCAGCCATCCAAGTATGCATTGCCATCCCTGGCCCCCTCTCTTACTTTCCCCATTCAGTGTCATTTGAAATCCTGCTTGGCCTTGTGCAGTTAGCCTCTTGGGGCTAACCCCTGCAAATTGTCCTGAGCTGTCCTTCCACGAGCCCCATGTGCAATCTCTGGCTTCCCATTCCCACCCCCCATTCCCTAGCATTTTGAAGCCCCCCCCACTTTGAAATAGGGTTTCTCTATGTCCTTGAACTAGTTCTGTAGACCAGGATGGCCTTGAACCCAAGAGATCTGCCCGCCTCCCTGCCTTTGCTTCCTGAGTGCTGGAATTAAAGGTATATGCCACCACTGCCTAGCACTGGAGACAAAATTTGGAGCTGAGACTACAGATGTGCACACTATGCCCAGCTGGTAATTAGCTCCTCCATAAGGGCAGAACACCACCCAAGCAATGGCTAGCAGACTGGGGATCCAGTGGCCAGCAAGGGGGGGATGTTGGGACCTCAGAGGCCAGCAAGTGGGTGGGGCAGCAAGTGGGTGGTGATGTTGGGGGTCCAGTGGCCAGCAGAGGACAATGTTGTAGGTCCAGTGGTCAGCAGAGAGTGATGTTGGGGGCTTCGAGGCCAGCAGGGGGTGATGTTGAGAGTTCAGAGGCCAGCAATGGGTGGTGATATTGGGGTTCCAGTAGCCAGCAGAGGACAATGTTGGGGGTTCAGTGGCCAGCAGGGGGCGATGTTGATGGTCCAGTGGCCAGCAGGGGGCAAGGTTGGGGGTCCAGTGGCCAGCAGGGGGTGATGTTAGGGGTCCACTGGCAGGAGGTAGTGATAAGTGGTGACTGAGGGAGTTTACTGGTAGTGGTGCCTTCAGTGGGTCCCTGGTAGGAGGGCAGGTGCTGCCTTGGATGCAGTCAGCTGGCCTCTGAAGGACTATGTCTAAGTACCCCAATAGTGACTTCCCAGCTGTACCCTCTTGTCCCCCTGGCAGTCCCAAGTGCCTCCTATAACCCAGGGATAGGTCAGGAGGACCACAGGGCACTGCCAGATCAGTCACTGACCCCATGGACTTTGTGGCTGGTGGGGGAGTGGTGCCTGCCAGGCCTAGTGAGGCCTGAGGGCTGTGTCAGTGTGACATCCACTAGCAGCAGACGTCCACAGGGAACAAGGGCTGGGCCACCTGTCTGTTTTGTTGTTGTCAAAGTTTTTTTTTTTTTCTTTTTTTTTTATTAAATTATTAATATTTTCACATGTACTTTCCCTTTCCCTGTTGTCAAAGTTTTTTGAGATGGTTCTTTGCTTTACAGCCCAGGTGGGCTGGGAACTCATGATTCTCTGGCCTTAGCCTTCTGAGTGTTGGGAGGAAGATGCACTCTAGCCTAGCCTACCCCTGCTCATTTTCAGAGGGCATCTCCTTCAACTGTAGCAAGACCTGTCAGCCCTGCTCCCATTCTTAAGTGTCTGCTCTCCAGTGCCTCCTGCAATTATGAGTGAGGCCTTGGCTTCTCGCCAGATGTTGGGCCTGGCTGGATTCATGCATCCACTAGGCTTTGATGACGCCTCAGGCAGCAGGCATCTTCTTGTGATGCCTCATGGCCCTTGCTCACAGTAAGCACAGATAGAAACGGTACATGCTCTGCAGGTGGAGTGAGGATGGCATGGACCAAACTGTGCTTTGCTGACCCAGTGAGGACCCCAGAGATCGTCCTACAGCAGTGATTCTCAACCAAAATACTCTTTCACAAGGGTCACCTAAAACCATCAAAACCAGATATTTATGATTCATAACAGTAGTACAATTACAGTTATGAAGTAGCAATGAAAACAATTTCATGGCCGGGGGTCACCACAACATGAGGAACTGTCTTAAAGGACTGCAGCATTAGGAAGGCTGAGAAACACTGTCCCACAAGGAGGTGATGGCAGTACTTGCCTTTGAGGAGACAGCCCCGGACAGAACCGTTTCAGTGTCTTCACGCAGGCGCACAGAGCCTTCCTGCACACCATTACCCATCCCAGGCGTGCTGGCCAGTGGGGACTCAGTCCTGAGGAATGAGAAGGGCTGGGTTAGATAAGCTAGACTCAGCAGGATGATGACTGTCCAACCAAGGGTAGCTTGGCTGTTGACTTCTGAGGCTCAGTTAGCTCAGCTCCAATGGCCTTTACCTTACTTGACTCTCCATTCCCAAGAGGGAGAAGACACCTTTGCCCTTGACTTTGGTCAAATTCTGAGGTCACTGTGCCCTGGGTTAATGGATTCATCATAACAAACACCTTTCTTTTGTTACTTGCACATGGCTACCACAAACAGCCTGTTTTTCTGAACTAGTGCTAGCAGATCAAAGAGGGTAAGAGGCTGGCTGAGGCCACACCGCAGGGAGGAAAAAGGTAGGACCTTTTGACCATCACCAGCATGGCAGGGAACGGAGGTCAAGGGACCTATGTGCCCAGAGCCACCTAGCACCAGCCCCATCACCAGTCCAGGGTGGTATCCAGTGTGAGTCTAGACCTAAGGGCTCTCTTCAACATCAGCTACCTGTTCTCTGCAGAAAGAAGTTATGTGAAGGAAGGCCTTGCTCCCTGCACTCTCCCTTTTAGACCTAGCCCAGTGCAGCCACCTGTGTTCAGGCCCTACCTTCTCAGGCCATTGGATCTCAAGGGGAAGCAGGGATGAAGGAATGATAGAGATGCCACTGTACAGCACTGTGTTTTGAGGTCTCAGACTTCCTGGTTTTGTATGATCTAATCACCAGACTTGGTGGTGCAGGCCTGTCACCCTGCCATTTGGGAGGCTGAGGCAGGAGGACACGGTCAGCCTGGCAAAAGTCAAAAGTAAAGGAGAGCTGGGGGCTGGCTCAGCGGGAGAACACTGGCCTAAAACCCATCAGTGAGGGGCTGGGGGCGTGGCTTAGGGTTGAGCCCCTGCTTAGATGGCTCAGTGGGATATCACCGGCTTTGCATACTTGAGGCTCAAAGCTGGAAAAAACATTGAATCAAGAGGATGGGGGTGCAACTGAGTGGCAGAATTTGTGTGGGAGATCTGGGGCACCATCTCAGGACCAACAAATAAAACACAAGAAAATGAAATAATGTGACAAACCAATACATAGACCAATGCCATGAACAGCAGCTGAAGGACAGACCCACAGCAGTGAGGAAAGCAACAGCACTGGCTGTTAAACCACACTCTGCCCTCAGTCCAGGAGAAGCAGAGGGCCAGCCATTGTGGGTGGGACCAGCCTGGGCAGATAGATGGTCCTAGGTGCTATGAGAAAACAGGTTGAGCAGAGCATTCCTTTAATCCCAGAACTCAGGAGGCAGAGGCAGGCCGATCTCTGTGACTTTGATGCCAGTCTGGTGTACACAGTGAGTTCCAGTAGCCAGGCTACATAGTGACACCCTGTTTTGAACAAAAGAAAGAAAGAAAGAAAAGAAAGAAAGAAAGAAAGAAAGAAAGAAAGAAAGAAAGAAAGAAAGTTAGTTTAGGGGTATGCATCTATGGTAGAGCTTTTTATTTGTAAGGTCCCGGTTCTATTGCCAGAGGAATGATAGATTGAGGATGGATAGATGGATGGATGGATGGATGGATGGATGGATGGATGGATGGATGGGATAGAGTATAGGGTCAGGAGGCAGGGAATAGATCACTGTCTTTGAAACCCACTGAGGACTCTGGACTCTGAGTCTGGCCGAGTCCAGATGAGACCACTACAGAGCTCTACTTGATGGCACAACTATATCTGATGGGGAATGGAAAAAGTCATAAGGCCAGCACAGCTGTTTGACAAAGATCCAGCAAAGCTGAGCCAAATGATGGCTGCCCCGCCACCTTTGGTTTTCATCTCTACCTGTTGCATACTTGGGAGACTTTTAATATTTGTACAACTTAGGGATATTGGATTAATGGAAAACTTATGAATCATTTGTGCCTTCTCCCAGGAGTACTGCTTCTAAGTTTCCCCAGGTAAGTCCTAAACACACCACCCCTCCTGCTTTAGGGAGACACCCTTATCTACTTGAAGGTCTTCCTTACGCCTTGGAGGCTGTGACACACATAAAGAAGCCTTGAGGTCTCTTTATGAGGCTCTGAGACACTCTTGGAACATCTGCCTCTGTACTTACCCAGGAACAAGATAATCAAAACAGAGTAAACTGAAAAGGGCAACAAGATTCGGTGGGCTGGAGGAGCCGGCCACAGTTCAGATCGCAAGCCTCTTCCCACTGAACACTCAGGTGATGACATGGCATACACAGCAATAAAATGAGATTAGCTGAAGATCAGCCCCACACAGAGACTCATATTGGTGGGCAAAGAATGATGAAGAAAGATGATAAAGGTATTCTATAAGGATATAAAATGTAAACATTGTATTGTGCCAGAGTTTGAATAACAACTCCAGCAGCTTTGCCTGAGGAGATTTCTTGGGCACTCTGACCATTAAGAGTTAATAATACACTGCTTGGAACTTGGCAGTATGCCCGGGATGGCTTGGAGGTTGTTTTGGTCTAGTGTCCTTGTACCCACAAAAGCTACCAGCCTAAAAACAGGCCAGACATATGCCTCTAGATTTTTAAAAATTGGGTTATGGGGCTGATGAGTAAAAATGGTTATGAAATGATGGTTATCAATGATGTCAAAACTTGAGGGGAAATGATTGGAAATGATAACTCATGTTCTGTCATAGTTTATTAATATTGACTAAAAGATGAATAAGAGAAAATGTTGAACACATGTCCAAAAACAAAATTGATATGACCTATGTTTTGGAATAACATGAATGTCCCCTGCTTAATGAATTCTGCATAAATAAAGAAACACTCTGGCTGCTTGTCAGTCAGGCAGCAAGATTCTCCTGACCACCATGGCCTGGCTCACTTCCTTCCTTCACCAACTCCTTACATCCTCCTCTGGGACCTGTCCACGGCTGGGGATGGCTCTTGGCAGACACAGTTGATGAGTTAGAAAGTTATGCTGCTTATAAAGCCAGGAGGCTCCTAAAAACTTAGCAGGGTCTCACCAACTCCAATGACACTACCAGCCCCATGTGGTGGTGACATCACCCACCCTGCAGGTCTGTGGTACCTAGCCTGGGCACCTATTTGCTTGCACTTCCCGGGGTCCCAGCCTCTCAGGACACTAGCCCTTCCTCTCAGGGCCTAGCCTCTTTCCTCAACTCATGGATATCTCAGGAGGAATGGCAACAGCCCAAGAGTTACTTCTGATGCACCTCAGAGGATGAGGCAGGAGGATCACACATGCTCCAGACAAGTCTGTGCTGTACAGTGAGACCTTGTCTCAAAAACAGAAAAACAAAACAAGTGAAAGAAAGCTATCTCTGTCAATATTTACCCTGAGAATGGACAGGACAAAGCTCAGCACAGCCCAGCGACCCGGGACTCATTCCAGAACAGTTGACTTGCAAGTTCAGTTGTGTATTCCTCCGAATCATTATGGAGCTGAGCCACCTCTCAGGGAGCTGCACTTTGTCAGAATGCCGTGCTCATGAACCAGCCAACCTCCATGCAGGGTGGGCTTATGTGAGGGGCCAGGGTGGGCGTTGAGGATGAGGTGGGGTCCCATGAGGACGAGGAGCTGCTGCAGATCAGTGTACAATGCTTGCTGAGCTCCATCTGCAGCATCTTCAAAAAAATTATCAAGGGGCTGGAGAGATGGCTCAGTGGCTAAGAGTGCTGGCTGCTCTTGCAGAAGACCTGAGTTCGATTTCCAAGCAACCACATGTTGGCTCACAAACATCTGTTTGAGGGGACTGAACACCCATTTCTGGCCCTGGTACCCACTGCACACATGTGATGCACAGACATACATGCAGGAAAAACACCAATACACATAAAAATAAAAACAAATAAAACTACAGTGAGTAGGCAGTATGTAGGTCTGTAAAGAGACTAAAACTAGCAGGGAAGTGGTGGCACACACTTTTAATCCCAGCACTCAGGAGGCAGAGGCAGAGGCAGGTGAAGCTCTGGGTTTGAGGCCAGCCTGATCTACAAAGCAAGTTCCAGGGCAGCCAGAGTTGTCATACAGAGAAACCCTGTCTCCTAGTTTAGGAGACTAAAACTAGGGCCCTGGCTGCGCCTTGGCTGGTAAGGTGCTTATCCAGAAGCCAGGAAGCCATGGTTTCTGAGCCCAGCACCACATAAAAACAGGTGCTATGAGGCATACATGTCACCCCAGCACTCAGAAGGCTCAGACATGGGGTTCATCACAGGTTTAAGGACAGCCTAGGCAACAGAGTGGGGACTACCTCATATGAATAAATAAATAAATAAATAAAATGAATGGGTGAAATAAACGCTAAGAAACAATGCCAAGTGAAGACCGACAGCTCCTGAGCCAGGCCAAGAATATTGTGGGCTAAGTTTCAGATGTCTTGTCTGGTGACCTGGCTGCACTTGCAGCATCTTGACAGTAGTGCCACTGGGGCAGTGTGGTCACAGCAGGGCACATGCAGAGCACTAAGGGAGGCACTCTTCTGCAGGACTTTGTGCTAGTTGGTTTCCTAGGAGACCTTGGCAGAGTGCATACTCATCCTCTCCTCAAACTGGGTTCCTGAGGCCTTTGGTGAAACTCTTCACCCAAGGCTGTCCTCTATGTGGAGGGGTGAGGAAGAGGTAAAATGAGGCACATATCACCAACAAGGCACAGGAGCAGCGACTGGGTGCTACATGCCTGACCTGCTCATATCTAGTCTGCCTGAGCTGAAGGTGGATAGGTCTGCTTTACAGATGGGAAGCTGGGGAGAAAACTCTGATAGTGCATATGCCTAAAATCCCCCAGTGAGGAGCTGGGGGTGTGGCTCGGTGGGAGAGTATATACCTAGAATTCTCCAATGAAGGGCAGAGGGAGCAATGGGGTAACATCCTAAGCCATGTATGGCTGCCCCCTTGATCTCTACTTCCCACTGCCAGCACTCTAAAATCTACAAAAAAAAAAAAAAAAAAAAAAAAAAAAAAAAAAAAAAAAGAAAAAAAAAAAACAAAAAACAAAAAAAAAAAAAACCATTTTCTGTAGGTGGGGAGGCTGTGGCCTTTGTTCCATAAAGGTGA